ATCAGTTTTCCTCGCTTTGGAATTCCTCGGATTGTAATAAGCGATGGAAGATCCCATGTCATCAATAGATTTTCAAAAATCTGCTCAAAAATAATGGGGTCACGCATAAATTTGTATTCCCATATCACCCTCAGACAAGTGGACATGTGGAAATCTCTAACAGAGAAATCAAGTTGATTCTGCAAAAGAAAACCGGCATAAATCGCAAGGATTGGTCTAATGAACTCGACAATGCACTTTGGGCCTATCAGATAGCATACAAAACTCTTTTAGGGACCACTCCTTTCAATCTTGTTTACGGGAAAAGCATGTCACCTTCTTTTAGAGCTCGAGTACAAAGCAAAATGGGCTGTTAAGGAGATGAACATGAACTTTAAGGAAGCTGGAGAGATAAGAATGCTTCAAATTCACGAGTTAAAAGAAATCAGGCATAATGCCTACAAGAACTCCAAGATATACAAGGAGAAGACGAAGACATATCACGACAAAAAGATCATACATCGGTCTTTTGCTCCCAATGACAAGGTTCTTCTTTTCAATTCTCGCCTTAAGCTTTTTCCAGGATAGCTGCAATCAAGATGGTCTGGACCTTTTACATAAAGGAAGTCAAACCGTATGGAGCAATTGTTTTTTGGTGTAAGAAAGGAGATACATTTGTTGTTAATCGACAGCGCGTTAAACCATACCTCGCAGAAGAAGAAGAAGAAGAAAGAGAAGATATGCTCTTGACGGATCCACCAGGCTAAAGCATCAACAAAGTCAAGCTAATGACTTTAAGCAAGCACTTAGTGGGAGGCAACCCACTTGGTGTTTTATTTATTCCCTTTGATTTGCATTTTCTATTTTTTTTTGCTTTATTTTTGTCTCCTTTTATCTCAGGTTTTTAGGCAAAGAACGAATAAGAGATGAACAGGAATCACAAACCAGAAAACACATCAAAAGCTGCAGCACATCGCCAGGTAAGTACACCTAAACATTTCAAATTTCAGTCCATCAATATCCCATCCTCTCATAGATTTTTCACACTAGGGGCAGTGTGATTTAAGTTCGGGGAGGATGTTCATCCCTTACTAACAAAATTTGGTTTGTTTTGAAATTGTGTTTCATAAAAAGATTTTCCATAAAAGATTTTTTTTCAAAAAAAGATTTCAAAACAGGAACATTAGAAACAGCTCCATAATGATTTCGACATGTGTGCTCCTAAGCTATCTCCTCATTTTAGATCCTTTGTGGTTTAGAGCTAGACTAGGGGGTAGCTAGAATACCTACTACAAACTCCCACTAGAGGATTTCTATCCATAGAGATTCTTTCTAATAGGATATACTGGCTCATTCTACTTGAACTTAATATTGACATCTAATTTTCTCATCATTGGTTTTAGGAAGGCATTCTGAGATACATCTAGGACATTTTTACCTTATTGTTACCACTCTTTGTTGTCCCAGATGGCCACTTCATCTTTAGCTGGGACCATACCCTTAACCCAGACATTTACTTTTGAACCTAATGCATTCTCTCATTAGTTTTTATCGACAGATATGTGAAAAAACGCCGAAGATGGAGGAACAACATAGTTTTCAGTCACTGACTGAAGGAAATTGGGAAAAAAGGGTATCAGAAATCTTATCAAGCTTAATGTTGCCTCAAAAAGCTCATTCATAAATGTAAATTTCGTGCTCCCTAAGACTTTACATCTAAAGGTGGTTTCCCTTTTCAAACAAAAACTAAATCAGAAAACAATGAAAGGAAAGGAAACCAAAAGCTTGAAAGAGTCAAGGATAGCCGAAATTATTTGGAGCAAATGCTAGAAGTATTCATCTATGGAGTTATGGTCCTAGACAAAAATCTAAGTATGGGGGAACCACGAGAAGAACCTGAAGAAAAGGGATCAGAAATTTTAAGGGAAGATGAATGTGACTAGAAACTGTAGACATTCAACAGCTCCATCCTCTCTTGCTTTTTTGCATAATATCTTGTCTCTTCAAAAAAAAAGTAACCCTAAACACTGAGAACCTCACCTCTAAAAAGCCATTTTGGATACCTAGCCTTGACTGCCTTTTTAAATTTACTTTTGATGAGAACCACTGGAACTTGTAAATGAATGTTAAGAGCTAGTTGACTGGAAGATATGTCTAAATGTGTAGATTATTGCATGACGGATTAACGGACTAGTTATGCTTGCATTTTGGTGATAATTTTCTAGACTAGATCCAATGGATGCATCTTGGTTATGGTTTAGAATGCCGGTCACTGAGATACTGTTTAGTTCCTGCAATTTTAAGATACTTTCCTGACTTTGATTTTTCTTTCGGGGCAAACAAAGGTTTAAGTCTGGGGGAGTTAATAACGCCGTATTTTGACCACTTTTATGGATGATTTTAAGATCTTATATAGGTGCTTTAGCTTAGTTTTCAATGGTTTTCAAGTGATTTCCATGCTTTACAGTTTCAAAAGAGTTTTCAGGATATTTGGACAAAAGGAATGCACTTGGAAGCAAAAGGCACAATTTTGGATAAATTTAGCCCTTCGGAATTTTGGCAACAAATGGATACCTTCCCACCGTCTTATCATCCCCAAATTTGGCACAAGATAGAGGAGACAACCAGCTTTCCAATGCAATTAGAACCGAAGAAATCCAACAATTAGATCTCTAGATATGGTCAATGCACTGAAAGCGAATCAACACAGTTCGGAAGCTGACCCGTGGCCAAAGCATCATCCACCGCGGGAACCTCACTAGATGATTACCTTTATCGATTTTTTTGTCATTAGATCAGTTCATGAACCTCTGCAAAAACCCCTTAGACCCAGCACTTAGTTCCTATTGTTTTACAACCGTTTTATTTCGTTACCATTTAGATATAGTGATACCAAAACCAAAACCCCTATTTGTTTATTCTATTAGTCTTAAGTCCTTGATTGATTTGTACTGAAAGCTCAAAATCTCTGTGGTTCGACCCCTAAGTTCTACAACGCACATCTGTGCACTTGCAGATAATTTGGGTTATAAATTTAAAACGTGAAGCTAGAAGTAACCCTTGATTCTCTAAGCATCAAGTTTTTGGTGCTGTTGTTGGAGATTTTGATCTCTTTCGTTGCGAATCTCTGCTTAATTCTATAGAATTTTTTCTCATTTTTATTTTTTTTTTTGCATTTTTCAAGTACTTTTTCGATGAGAGATCATGAATATATCCTTGATCCTCTCGCTGAAGAGCATCATTTTCTAGATGGTGATCCATCTGATGATGAGCTTAATGATCTAATCAATGATGGCAATGAAGGGATTGGAGAACCAAAACATACTATTCTCTACTATTTTAAATTTGCAATGATCAATTTCCCATCATTTTAGTTTTTTTGGAAAATAGCTAGAAATAGATTTTCTCTATCATTTTACAACTGGTATTTCCATGGGATTGAATCTTGTTTTCTTGTAGTGTTATTTTTTGTGTAACAAAGTAATATTTTGACCAATGAGGAAATTTTGACTGAATACATCAGCGACCCGAATATAGGGAAAAAAAACTTGCATATAAAACATAGTAATTTTACCATAAAAGATATTTTTTGGTAAACTGTCATTTACAGGTCACCCTTAAGTCATCCTTATGGTAAACTATCATTTAGAGGAACAATATATACATATATATATATATATATATATGGATCTTTAACCTACTATTCAAATATCTCTTTCCACCACTTATGTTTTCATTGATTTGGATTTGTTATCTCCATTGAGATTTTCGGATCCCACTTTCTGCTTTACAATTATTCAAGAGTTTGTATTGAACTGAAACCTACCACTGGTGCAATTATTGGTAAGGTTTTGTAATGTTTTTTCTTCTATATTTGACCATTGTTCAAGAACTGAAACTTACCACCGGTGCAATTTTCGGTTGTTTGACTTGTTTCAATATTATTTGACCGTTCTATGTTTCTCGCATGATCTGAACGCTGGTGAAATTTTACAAAAAGGTATTTTTTATCGCGGTTACATTATTTGGTCTTCGTAAGAAATTAAAATATGTAAGCGATTTATGGAAAGATGTTAAGCATAAAGATTTAGATAAATTACATTATATAACAATCTTATGAATTCGGACTATGTTCCTTAACACAAACGGCACGTAGACAATCACAACATAAGCTTGCATCGTATTCATTGTATTTATGTGCGTTTTTTTTTTTTGTCTCTGTCTCTCGTCTTTATACGCACCTCTTAATTTGATTTTGGCTTTATATAAAATTGTATTCTTCAACTTTAAGATTTATATATTGCATGGATAGTGTTGGGATATCAGATTTAGGGTATTAGTTTTCTTTCTGTTAATTGAATTTAGTACTTACATGTTTTTGGTTAAGATCACTGATGTGTTGGCGCAGAAGCTGTCAAATTGGCGCAGACTAGATCATTAAATAAAATTGCATCTTATACTTGCATGTTCCCAAATATCGACTTTTAGATAGTTGTTTCTTGTCTCGATTAAATACGTAATAGTAAAATTATATTTGAAATATAATTAAAAAAACAACTATTGTAAACTTAATTAATAATAGAAGAACCGTTAAATTGGTGAATTCTAGATCATGAGATGAAAATGCTTCATATAACTATATGTTCTCAAATACCTACATTTAGATCCTTATTTCTTGTCTCAACCCATGATTGGTTTATACTCAACAACAGAATTACACTTGAATTATATAAAAATAATTCTAACACCAACAAGAATTTAAATGATAAGATAGCTGTTAAGTTGGCGTGCACTGGATCCTATAATCGAGTTTTGATTTTTAGATCGTTAATTATGTGTCGATATCCAAAATGATAAGATAGTTAATAACCTCTAATTTGATTAAAGGATTTACTTTAAGGATTAAAGATGATATGTTTGGAGACAACCACAAAAAAAAAAAAAAAAAAAAAAATCCAATTAAACTTTCGCCCGCCATTATTCTGCTTCCAAAATACTTTTGGTAAACGATGGAAAAAGGAAAGAAATCTGGTTTAGATATTCCTTATCCTGAAATCTCATCACTCATTCGTAGATGAATCATATAAAACTCTTCTAAACTAAGATGAATCCAAGTATCGACTCTTTCTGTTTTTTTGTGATTTTGATTCAGTGATGGCTATGGAGAACAGCAAACAAGAATCCGGAGAAACACAAATACCAAATCTTGGTGTTACTGCAACTGGTGCAACGACCCCATGTTCCATCGGCGGAAAATATTGCCACCAGGTTCGACAATTTTCATTTTTTGTCGATTTTTGTTGTGAAATGGATCCGATCATGTTTGTATTCATCATCGCCTGGAAATATAAATCTAGAGTTCAGATAGAACGTAAACTGTACGATTCCTTTAATCTGTATTACGATATTGAAAACTGAAAACTGTGAGAGGATAGAGAGCATACAATTATGCAGTTATCAGGTGGCAAACCACACGAACCATTTGAGTCTCAAAAGGTTGTGTAACCTTTTAGCCATCTCAAAATGATGGGTTCGAATATAATTTAATTATGGTTATGATCCACATCCATGAGAAGGTGTTTAAGCTGTGGTGCTTGATCCACATCTGTTGCAAGTTGGTTTCATCTGAACCAACTTTATCCCTCTCCCATTAACCCATAGCTTCTCTATCTCTACCATCTGTTCTATAATTGTAACCATCTCCTCTCTTATTGTGACCCGCCTCGTACCGTTTCCTATTCATAACCTATCTACCTGAAAGGTTAGTTCTTTCACTTAGTAACTAGAAACCCTAGCTCTTTTCCTATTCTTCTCTCCTTCCTATTTCGACACCTCGTCTCTCTTATCGCCACACTTGTTACAAGATTAGGTTTATAGTCAAGTCCCCTTCATGGAGACAGTAATTTTTCCAGCAATCAATTCTTTGAGAATTGGTCTCAGAAAAACGCCATTTTTATGAGCTATGTTTGGTAAGCCTCAACTGTTCTTAATACTATCTAAAATGTGATCAATTCCACCGAAATAACGACAACTGAAGAAACCCAGAAAGGGCAGACATTACGGTGAGAGAATATAGCCTTTTAGTAGATGAACATATAGTATAGACTTTCAAGCTAACCAGGAATCTGCATTACATCTTCGATGCACACTAGGTTTCAAGAAACTTCAATCCCATCTATATCGTCAAACGCCTTAATATCTGATTTATTGGAAAGTTAACAAACAATCATTAAATAATTTGCCGTTTGCAACTAATAAAGCATAAAAGGCATTAGGGTATGTAGAAACCATACACTATTTTGTATTCATCTTTTCTTTTTTTTTTATCGATTATTATTCGAACCAATGGTCTTTGTGTTTTTAGTGTCGCCAAAAGAGAACGGATGTTGTTGGATCTTGCGTGGCCAAGAAGCGAAGCACGACTTGTCTGCTGAAGTTCTGTCCCATGTGCCTAATAAACAGGTTTGATTTGATGTTTTATTTTATTTTTTGTGATTTATGTCTTTTGTTGTGAGGAGAAGTATATTCTATATCGATTGTGTTATATGATTCTGTCTCAAATTTTAGGTATGGGGAGAACGCAGAAGAGGTTGCTTTAAAGACCGATTGGATTTGCCCCAAATGCAGGGGTATTTGCAATTGTAGCCTCTGCAGGTATGTCAAAATCATTATATGTTTTTTTTTTGGAACAAAATAGTAATAGTTATATGTTTTGAAGCTTCTTTTATATAAAATTTGTTAACTGATTTCATTTTCCAGGAAGAAACGGGGTCAGAGGCCTACCGGGATATTGGTATACCAAGCTAAAGAAACTGGATGCTCCTCTGTCTCTGAGCTTCTTGAAACTGAGGGTGCTGACAAATTTTTCTACAAGAAGAAGGCAAAACCGGTACATGCTCTGTCCTGGAGAGATATTTGTTGTGTGAAATCTTAGCTTTGAGTCTTACCTTGTGCCAATTTTGACTATATCGTAACTGCAGGAAGATGCTGCTGTAGCTTCTTCCCAAAACCAAGGGGAGGAGAACACTGTTATGGATATAAATAACGCATGTGGCATTGAGACTGCTGCAGTGAAAAAAGGTAAAAAGAAAGAGGAGGATCAGCTTGAGGAGGTTAAAATACCTCAGGGTATCAGCTCAATCCCTGTTTCTGGCATTGACTTGCCCCCTGAAAATGCTGGAGACGTATTTCAGTTCTTGGAGTTCTGCTTAGCTTTTGGAAAGGTATTATCTATGCCTTTGCACAGTTTCAAAATTAATATATGCTCAAAACTCTGAATATTGGAAATTTAATTGTTGACTCTTATCTACTTCACATGACTATTCGAATAGACTCTTGATTTGAAGAAAGGAGAAGCTGAATGTGTTATACGTGAAATGTTATCTGGGAGCCAACAACATCCTATGGTCATCCAGATGATAATCAAATTACTGACTGTGATATTGGAAGACAGAGGAGAAACGTAAATATTTTTTTTATAATTGAAAAATATCAAGTTTCCCGCTAGCGGAGTTCTCTGTTGATGCATGTCTAATTGATCTCAATTTTTTTGAATAATGTAGATCGGTTTGCTTGAGTGCGACTGATGATAGTTGGTTCACTGCCATTAGAAAATATCTAGTGGAATCAGAAGTTCAAATTGATGGCTTCCCTGCTCAAATGCTTCAAGAGTATGAGAAGTTGGATTTGAAGAACAGGTTTAAGCTTTTGAATTTCTTATGCGATGAAACACTTGGCACATCGTAAGTTATAGTAATTTTCATATAATGAATTAATTATTCTCTTTATTTTAATGGTGCTTGAGGGCTCATATGTTGTGATAAATGTTTCAGACTGATCAGGAATTTCATTGATGATTCTTTTGCAAAGAAGCAGGAAGCAAAAGATAAGTTGAAGGCAGCAAAAAATAAGGTACCTGTAAATTCTACTTTATTTTTACAATATAAGTTTGACAACACGTGATGCATCCAAACCTTTTTGCTGTAGGTGAATCAACATGAGCAGAAGTTACAACATGAGTTTGCCAAAGCTGTATCAGAGAGTAATGGGACTCTGTTGTCAAATGAAAAATGGCATGCAATTTTATCGCAAACAAATGATGAAGAAGTTCATTCTGAAATGCTTGAAGCATCCGAAATGCTATCTAAAGGTACAAATCTAAACATGTGTAGTTATTTATAATAGTATCATATGTTTAGAGCCTTACTGTTCTCTTTGTTCTTACAGTGAGTAAAAAAAGTGATGATACTCATAGAACCAAGCCGGTCGAACTGGATGAAAATGGTTTTATTCTTTGGAAGTTGAAGTCATACAATAATGAAGAACCAAACTTGTTGCTTCAAGGTATGACAACATACAAACTCTTTGTTTTTTCTCTTGAAGAAGTGTATTGGGAATAACTCTGTTAAAGTGTTATAGGTTTAATCTCCTTTTGTTTTTGTGCAGATATAGGAAGCTGGGATGAAGTATGTGCTCATGAAAAATGGTTTGCATTTAGCTCTGAGCAGAAACCAGAAATAGAGAAGTACCTCTCTTTCAAAAGGTATAATTTTATTTCACTCTTAAGCTTATAAGATCAATGGATTTATCAATGGTGTCATGAAGCTTTTTAGGTTTAAACGTTTCTTGATTAATCTCAAATCACATACACGCAACTAAAAGCAAATATTAACAAAATAAGTAATTGATGCTTCACTTGAAGCAACTGCCTTGGGAATCTCTTTGTATTACAAATATAATGCTAATTTGTTCATGGGTTTGCATACTCTGATTTTCATCACATTTCTTCTTTTGTATCCCATGTTTTGTAGGATGAAACGGCTTGAAGCAAAGAGGAAAACAAAAACTATTGTTGAGTCGTAGCAGGAGCACATAAGAAAAACATGATTCTGAGTAGTAGGGGCAGAGGTAAAAGTACTGCTGACTCATAAACTCTTTAAAAATGTGATTTTTAATTGCATTTGAGTATATGATTTGTTGTTGTTGTTAACTACATTTCTGAACAACCCAAACACCTTGTTTTGAATTTTTTTTATGTTAAAGAATAAATCCATTCGAACCTTCTTGGAGGCAATCTTTATAGTTAGTAGTTGTGAGGTTTCAAAAACATCTAAAAGGCAAACGATTCATTATATTTGATATTGTTGTCATCCAATCCATACGTCGCGGAAAGTTTACTTCAGTTTGTGCTGTAAACAATACTTCCTTTGTTCCTAAAAGAATGATGTATTATTATGATTTCTCTTATTCCTAAAAAATGATGTTCTAGGCTTTTTATTTATTTTAAATTAGGTAAAGTTAATAAATGATAAATTTAATAGATATTAATTAAGATTGTTGAATTATTATTGGTTTATTGGTTTATGGTTATGGGAAAGTTTCCAAGGAGAAAAATAATAATAAATTACATTAACTGTTTGTTAATAAAACTGAAAAAACAAAACATCATCCTTTTGTTAACATCATCTTAGGATACTGGCCTGCATGCATGTGTGGGCTTGAATGTTTTTATAAATTTTAATTGTATTGGGTATATTGTTAAGTTTATTGGGTCGAATTTTATAAAATTGATAATTGACAGTGTGTGGGTACAGTGTTACCACATTTGGGCCGAATGGTATGTTATTAGTTCAAGAATTAGATTGTGTCTTACAATTGGCTATACTTTTTTTGATGTAAATATAAACAATAAGTGATGTATAACTGATTAAGTAATTATAATTAGGTATGTATAATGAAGAAAGTATAGATGAAGAATACATAAAATTATGAATACATACATTAATTTTATGTTCGTAAATCGTAAGTTATTCATCGAAATGTGACATATATGAACATATTTTATAAATTATATGCGAAGATGTATTCATTTATTTCGAAATGTAAATTCATTTGGAAATGGTGATAAATCAGTCAAATGTTATTTAATATGTTGTAATTATAAACGACTTTTGGGGATTATGAAACAGAGCGAAGAAAAATGAGGAGTCACTCTCTAAGAATTCTATATATACACCCCATAAGAAAATTTTGAACAACTAACCAAGCAAACAATTAGTCACTCAAACACAACCCATAATACAATTATTCTTCTCATGTGATCCTCCGATAGACGTACAAAAAATATGTTTACTTGAAAGAAATATACACTTTTTCCTACATAATATTTCTTGTGCATCTATCGAGAATCACATCAGAAAACATTGTTATATTCATTGTGTCGCCAGAGAGTTATTATAATTATATTACTTGTGAATGCTCACTTTCGACAGAAGTATATTGTTAGTACTTTATAACAAAATCTGGATAGAGTATTGACAGTATACTTTTTGTAGAGTGAGATACAAATAATTTTTCTTAGGAGGATAATAAGAAAAACTCTAATTATGTGGAAAATTGTTATTTACCTCGAATGAGAACGAATATTGTGTAAAAAATACAAATATTTTAATTTAGATTTTTTAATTTGAACTATAACGATTTTCCAATTTTGTAGGATTGTTAGTTTTATTATTTCTCATCGCAGCGATTATCTAAAGTTCTTTTCAAAAATCGCAGATAGTGTTAATTGCTAGAAGCGTGCGGGCCAGTTTAATAAATTAGTAATGTTATTGGATATAGTGTTAATTGTATTTGGTCGAATTGTACAAAATTGATAGTTTATAGTGTGTGGTATGATGTACCTATATTTTATGCTCAGTGTTGTATATATCCTATTTTTGTTTTATGAAAAGTGAAAATATTTCTGTTTTATGAAAAGTGAAAAATTATGAAGATCACATATAGAACCTAAAGAACCCATAATTGTGACGATGTATCTTGTATGAGAAATCGTGATAATTCGGTATAAAGAACATGTCATAGTTCTTGTAATCATTAAGTCAATTAACTGAGAATCGATAAATGACATTAAAAAAGAAATTTATGATTGATTTATAAAGGAAAAATCAAAAACGCAAATACATTAAAAACACAGAAATTATTATGTATAGTAACATGAATTATTCGTAGGAGCATCGTAATCTATTAATTGCTGTTCTGATAACTGCAAAAAAAAATGTAGAATAAAATTTAATACCAAATATGTAGTTCTCTATAATCAATATAAATAATACAAACAACAAACCTTGAACAGATGGAATTTTCTTGACGGATGTGGATATTATAAATTGGATAAAAAAATTGTTTGAATCTCTGCTTTCATTTCTGCATAACCTCTTGACAACAAAATCTTCAATATCAAACCATGAACCTTCCGTTAGCAGAGGTTCGAATAAATCATGAAATTGTCGTCTAACCCGAACGCGTATTGTATGGTCCTTTACAAATAAAAGAATTTGAATATTTTGGTAGAGAAAATAATATATGTGAATTAATGTAGTTTATTAGTAATACCATAAAAGATAAATTTTACCTTCGCATCAGCAAGAAACAATTCTAATGATACGCCCTGATGTGGTATATATTCAAACCACTTTCTCACGAGTTTCACACGGATGCACCATTCAGTTGACCTGTTGTTCAAGTCTTCAATGTAATTAAGTGGTTCCATTTTCCGAAAAGATGTGAAAACTAAATAAGTTGTTAGTGTTTGTATATATATTGGAAACTTATGAAGAGGGCAATAATTTAGGGTTCCAAATATTTCCAACCATGAATTCTAAATAAAACGTATATTGGGTCATTATATCATCAAATATCGGGTTCGGTAAATTAAGTCAGGACATAATATATATAATATATCAACTTCTATAATTGCATTTCTGTTTATGGTAACAATAGGTTTTATAAATGGAAGACATTGTAATCTTCCATTTAACACTCATTATAATTTATACTATTATTATCTTTCTAAACCAAATTTTAAGAACCTAAATTAAAAGTACATGTTTACACAAACTTTAGAAATTGATATAACACCATTAATAGCAAATAGTTAGCGTATGTTAAAAAATATTATTAAAAGTTCAAAAAGCATAATTATAAGCAAGGTTCATAAAAATAAGATAAAAACCATAAACCGACCAAATCTCTAAAGATTCAGCAAAAAAAATAAAAAGGTTCAACATTATCCCCAAATATATGGGAATTCAAACATATATAGTAGAGTTTAAGATGAAATAAAATCGGAGTTGATGTAGGATTTCAGGGCCAGCTTGGATCTCCATGGATATCAGTAAATGGTAACCTGAAAAACTGAAGGAATACAATTACCTAAACCAGAAATACAATGTAAACTGAATAGAAGTTTACTTAGATTAGTGTTATACCAATCTAAAAAATCTGAAACTTCTTTAATATGTGGATTAAAAAGTACTTCAGATTGGTCACCAGCATTTCTGATGAAGAAGCGGCCAGAAAATTGGTTTTTTTCTACCTCAACTTTCTGAGAATGTTAAATCTATCCCAGAACTTATGCATGGTGTTTAAACATACTTAATCTATATTATAATTTGAATTTCCTCCATAATCTTCATTCTAATTTGAATTTCATCCTTAGTCTTTGTTTTTTGTGCTTAAAACAATTTTCATCGAAACGCTGTCAAAAATTCCGTCAAATCTGTATACATAGCGTCCACATAAGCAATTGCTAAAAAAACAAAGACACAAACGACAGTTGTTTGCTCAACGAAAATTGCTAAAAAATAAAAAAGAACAAAAGTAGAGCTTGAAAATGAGATCTGGTTTTGAAGGGCATCTGAGTATCCAGAGGAGTATGATGCTGTTTGCATGTAGATGAGATTGTCTTACAGCCCAGCGGCTCATCTCTTCATCTTCCTTCTCCAGTGGACAGATTGTCATTTCGCAGGCGCTTTGGGATTGTTTAGGATCCTTATTTATAAGTTGTCTTGTTATTCTTTCCGCATATCGGATCTTGTTCTTGGCTGCCTGATTTGTTTTCTTCGCTATTGCAACTTCACGGAGGGTTAACCTATGTAGAAGAAAGAAAACAAAAGGAGATATGCGATAAAAGATATTGAAAAAGGAACAGAACAGAGAAAGGAAAGATGTCAGTTGCTATAGAAACTGGTAAAAACTTTAAAACAAAGTGCTTCATCTTGTTCCTTACGCTCCTATTCCTCGGTCAACATCCTCCTCTTAAGCTATCTTCTTGTTTTGTACATAGCAATTTGCAATTTCTATCTCTTTTCGTGCCCACTCTCTGTATATAAAATTTATGTTTTTTTCTCTCATTTTGCTTTAGTTAGCTTTTTAGTTTCCTGCAGTCTCCGATTTGGATTTGTATACAACAAACCTCTGCTTAATAGCATTTCTAGATCCATAATTCCAACATATTTCTTCTGGGTTCGTGAACCTCTCTGTTGCAATGTTTCAAGTTCGAAATTTCAGAAGACAACAATACCATATATGTTGGAGGAGAGGTTCACGAACCCAACCCAGAAGAAATAAAAAAATCTATAACCACCTATGTGAAGAAATCCCCAAAATCGTGTGTGAGACTCGAATGTTGAAGAAAAGAGAGAAGCAATTAAGAAAAAAAAAGCGTAGCTTAGTCCCAAGTCAAAAAACGATGTTGTTTTGAGCGTACAAACAACTTATATTTTGAAAACTTAAGACGACATCGTTCTGACATGTCGGCCACGTAGACAAGACTTGACGGTTCCTCTAACACCGTTTGATCAATGTATGTTTTAGCACAAAGTTGAAAGCTTGGGTATGAAATTCAATTAATTACAAACTTGAAGTATGTTTAAGCACCAGATACAAATTCGGGAATGAATTTAATATATTTTCATAGTTTAGGTTGGAAAAAGCCAATTTTCCAGAAGCCGCCTATAACAAAATATAATCCTATATATTAATTATTTTTCCATATGAGGATCATTAAAACATTAGGTATCATAGATGTTAATTCAGAAAAGTAAATACGACTAACCTTGAGAATCATAGAAAACGCGAAACATCCTAAGAGTCAACACCATTTCATATGTTCCAATTTCTTTCCACTTTCTCCAAAACTCCACTGCTGTTTTCCCAGTCAGTTCAACTGTAAGTTCCCTGAAGCTGTTTGAAAATAAAATATACATATCATCAGTGACTGATATTCTTATTATGTCATATTGCTAATAACTTAACTACTTACTTCATGTCTCTTATTTCAATTTCCAAATTGCTCCATGGTCCATGTACCAAAGCATCAGGATCATTTTCTAAACTCTTCAAGTCAACAACAAAGATAATAACACCTATCAAGTCTGCGATAATACGTTCTATTAAATAAACTATACGGGATAACATTATCCTCTAACAAATCATGATGGTTCAGAATACAAACCGACAGAGTACTGAGAGCATATCTTCTGGTTGATGATATTTTCGAAGGGGATGAAATCCATCATATGCTTAGGGTTACGGGCAGAGATTTTGGTTACAACGGTGTGTTCATGCATGATGATGAAATGGTTGTTGATAGTATTCCTGAATGAGCCAGAAGCATGGACGATTTGAAATAAGGAAACCGCATTCAACTCTCCTTTTTTTAACTTTTGAGTGAGGACGGGCATGAGATCCAAATCGATGGCCGCCTCAACCTTATAACCCTAACAATATATACCAACGATATCATAATTTATATATAAAAATCCTAGACTGACTAAAGTAATTTGTATTAATAAAAGTTATGGTAAACTACACTTACATTCTCATCGCCAAGAATCAAGTGTGTTTCAAATCGCCTTTTGTCGACGTTGAATTCCTGCCATTGTCGAATAACTTTAACGATTATCGTTGGGAGAGGAGCATTGAGGGAAATTTAATCAAGTTTGAGAAAGGTTGCCATCAAAATTTTTGAAACAGTGATTTGTTTAGCAGTTGTTGCTTTGTAGTTTTGTGATCGACAAAAGGAGGAGATCTCTGAGTTTTGGATAGAAAGAGTGGAATAAACTTAGAGTTGTTAATTTGAAAGATTGCGATTTTTGGTAATTAGTAAAGGGTAAATAACTGTTGCGTTAGTTGGGTAAGTGAGAAATAAATGCTGATTGGAAAAGCAAAGAAGTAAGTCGTATAAATGAGAATAAAGTTTTACGGTGCAGTATTTAATAGATGAGATATATGTCAACTCAAGAACTCCCAGTATTTGAGAAAGGAAATCAGAACTATGAGTTTCCAAATATATTTAAACAAAATCACTTTATCATATTTAATATTACCAAAATAGATGGAATTTATATAAACTTCTCACTGCGTAATATACTGTTATTAGTCTTGTTTACACGATTCTAACCCTTGAACGTTTTAAATGGGAAACAAAATAAAGGGAGGATCAATACATATATACTTATTGTCATTTGTTATTCAGTTACAGAGTTCAAGTATGTACATAATAAATAAGGCAAATGTAACACGACAAAGAAAATAGAATCATAAAGAATACAGATCAATTAGAAATTGACATAATAATTAAATTAATGTATTTGTAGTTTTAACATATGGGTCAGAAAATAAGTCAACCATAATATTCATACCCATAGTGACAACAGAAAATTAATGGTTTTATATTAGTTATAGTACTAAAAAAAAAATTCATTAATCACTGACATAAATTCCCTGACAAGAACAGTATAATAGATGAAGTAAATAATTACATAAACTGAACTATCTCCGTTTCTAGCAATATACGTGGTCCTCGATAATCTCGGATATATAACTTCCAGATTCTACTATCCATTATAACCTCTTAATTATCAAACTTTCCAATTATTGTATGAGTACAGTTTCGCCGGTACATTCTCATAACATTACGTTATGCTAAGTAGTTAAAAAAGTTTTGTTCATATACACAGAATAAATGATACTACGTTTGATTACTTGTAACTTATTTAATTTGTCGTATATGTTATAAAATGTAGTTAATATCTATGATAGTTAGTCATTTATTATTTATCATATATTTAGTATTTTTTTTAAATACCTCAATCATGCTTGACTATATCTCTAAAATCACATTACAAAAATACTGTATAAAACAATGGAAAGCGTTAAAGCTGGTTCAGAATGACATTGGGCCATTGCAAAACAGGCTAATTTGATAATGTTTACAAATCGCATAAAAACCTAAACAGATTGTCGTAAAGAGCGTCTAAAAATCTTACTGAACACGTCTTTGTACACAACATTAGTTGTCTTCGTCTGCACGTTACCACTCTTATCAGTAATCAAAATCTTCTAACCAGACCTAGACTTCACCCTTGATAATGCAACATATAGCTGTCCATGTGAGAATACTGGTCTAGGTAGGAATAAACCAACATTTTGAAGAGATTGACCCTGGCTTTTGTTGATTGTCATTGCAAAAGCCAATGTCACAGAAAATTGTCTTCGACGCATTCTAAAAGAAAAACTCGTTTCCGGAGGTGTAACGAACATTCTAGGAATGAGAACCTTATCTCCAACCTTATCGGTTCCTGTTATGATTCTACCCTCTATAACATGGCGAGCTAAATGTGTAACAATCAATCTAGTGCCGTTACATAGACCTCCCTTAGGATCAATGTTACGCAAACACATAACTGGTGCACCTATCTTAAGTTTCAAACAATGTTTGGGCAATCCAGAAACTTTGATTCTATTTAAAAACTCAGTAGGATATGTTACCTTATGAGATGGGTCTTTATCACTAGGTGCAATGCTGTCAGCGCTCAGGTAAGTATGTAATTCACCTATAAATATACATTATAGGAAATTAAGTACTTTATTATATGTAGTGGGATTCAATAGAAGGACCAATAAATATATATAGTACGTATAATCTGTATAAATAATATGTTACCTGGCAGCAATGAAAACATATAATCGTTAATTTGATCAACATCTTCGTTTGTGGGACTCAAAATAGCACGATGTTGATAAAAGTCTTCAGCATGTTGACTACTTATTAAGTTTCCATACACTTCTTTAACTATAGTTTTCATTGGATCGCCACAATCTTTGATCAATAAATCTTCTGGAGTGTCAATATCCACAACATCATCATTTGGAGTATTGACTTTACCATCACCAACAGCTAATATCCATTCAGAGAATGCCTTAAGTTCAGCGGCAGCGACATCACTTAGTCCACCAAGCAACCTCATATTCTTTGTAAGTTGTAAAACTGTACAATCATCCCATAGTGCTGAAGAATTGATTGTTGCCATAACTGTTTCTGATCGGCCAGTATGAGGAATTACCGGAAGTATCTGACGGAAGTCACCTCCAAAAAAAACCACCTTCCCACCAAATGGTTTTCTCACAGGTAATCTGATGATATCATTTAAACTTCTATCTAAGTTTTTGAAACTATACTTGCTCATCATCGGAGCCTCATCCCATACAATAAGGTCAGCCCTTTTCATCAAATTGGCAAGATCTGATCCAGGAGGCATATTGCATTGTGTAAAATCATCTGGATTTATTGGGATTCCGAACCTCAAATGTGCTGTTCTACCACCTTCTAACAACAGAGCAGCAATCCCACTCGATGCAGTGTTGATAACTATCTTACCTCTGGATCGAATAGTGGTTGAAAGGAACCTCCAAAGAAATGTTTTACCAGTACCTCCAAAACCATATACAAAGAAAACACCACCTTTGTTGTTCAAAACAGCATCCAAAATCTCTTCATAAACACCTTTCTGCTCATCTGTTATCATAGCCAGAAGTCTCTCATTTTCTTTTCTTTGATCCTCAACATTGTACTTGAGTTCATCATCAATCAATCGGTTGCCGTTGTACTCCATGAAATTATCTGGTTTTGGCATACAGTTTTATTTCTTTAGTGAACGTCCTCTGCTCTCTAAGAAATCCTGAATCTCTTGCAATGCTATATTTTTAATCTGCTCGGTCGATAAATTCAAACCTGCAACAATAACAACACACAAAGATATATTTAAGAATGATGACCAAGTTGGAAATTGTATCTTGTAGAGCAAGCTTCATGTATTAAATAATTACAACTGTTCCATACCTTCATATCCGCTTTCAAGACGACGTCTGTAAAGTATATCATCAGTCAAATACTCCCAAGTTGCTTCCCAGACTACACCAGGTTGTGTTAAACAATCACCTAGCAATATTATACTGAAAAAAATCCTGAGATACCATCCTGAAGTGATGTGATTCTGGAAAGCAACAACAAAGACTTGGAGTTGGAACTAGAAGATGGAGAGCAAGTAGTTGAAGAACTAGAGCTTGTAGCTGATCAAGAAGATCTTTTAAGCGTTCCAAGTGGTCCAATGACTCGATCAAGGACTAAGAAGCTCAAGCAAATCATTGGAGCTATCATCAAAGGTCTTGACTCGATTCAAGAGGGAAAAGAGCCGATCACAAGCACCCTGATTGTGATCCAAGTCCAAGATGGCTAAGTGGGCTTGAGATCCAGGCTTGTACTCTTTTTCCCTCTCTCAAGTTTTGTCCCATTGGGTTTTCTTGAGATAGGTTTTTAATGAGGCAAGAATGGATCTCTATTTCGCCTAAGTCCACAAAGCCTAAGCCCAAACTGTTTCATCAAGAGGAGCGTCTAAATCGAATTCAAACTTGACAGCTTGTTCTTTGTTTATTTCTGAGATTGAGTTAATGTTTGTGAGACTCATCTCTTCTTTCTTTCTTCTTTATATTCGCTTGAACTCCTTTGTATCAAAATATCTTATCTTTTATTCTCAAACTCTTTCCTTAAAGATTAAGATCACGTTTGTTGGTGTGTCATATCCTACAAACACCTTGAATCGACTTTGTGTGTGTTATATCACTTAGAAGATTCAAGTAGGTGTATCAAGAGTGTTCCGCGGCTCTTGTGTGTCTCCTATCGATTCCCCAAGTCCCTTGAACAATCTCCGATTGTTTCCAAGGCCTATTTCATCATTAGAGTGACGATCAAGGGCAGATCCTTACCAGGATCACATCATGAAGCCAAAATTCTAGCTTTTTTGATGCCTTCGATATATTCTTTGTCATCATCCAACAATCCTAACGCATCACACGCTTCTTTGAAAGTATTAAATACAACGCCATCAACTCTTTTAATATCATCATAACATTTTGGACCTCTGACTATATTAATTAACATCCTCAGATAGTACGTCTCGTCACCGTTTGGATGGATATGAGCAATCCTTCAAATAGCAAAGCTTCATTTTCGAGGCTTCCACTCTCTATCCTTTAGATGCCAAACAAATTGTGTTGGTAGCTCTGCATAAGTTAGCTTACACGCATCTGGATATTTTTTACATGCTTCAAACCAACCTAGAAACATTGAAACACTAACACCTACCCGTTTCAAAATAGACTCAAGAGGTTCGTCTTCATCATGGACATAAACTTCACCGTTTGGGAGATGGAAGCAAAGTTTTTCCACCGAAACACTCCTATAATGAGTTGGAAAACCTAAAATTCTCCATGTTGCTTCGCAAGCCTAGACATATCTACATTTTAGGGAAAAAAAAATAATTTAAACGTCTCTAAAATATTATAATCATATAGGCCATATAATATATAGGATCATTGCAAATATACCTTCAGTTATAATAATTCTTAATTTCATCCACAACTCCATCCTCATCTTTGTCTAAAGCCGCAGAGACATAGTCAGGACCCTTATGAATATATTTGAAAAGATATTTCACAGCATGCGTTTGAGTGCACCACTCAACATTTATATGTGCAGGATAACGTAACATAAGATCCCTATTGTATGGAACAACATATCCATTGTCAAGATTTATACCATTTTTGGTGAAAAACCTATTATCCCTGCGCCGCCGGTATAATGGAAAGCTGTTTGAATCCATCGAAGTTTCATCATTGAAAGGTCTTGGAAAACTCTTTGAGCATTTCCCGTTCACCATGCAAACATTGTCAGGTTTAGCAGCTCCACATGGTCCATGCATCATATTTTCACCAACAATATTATAAAGGTCTGGATCTGTTTTCTTATCGGGAATCTCAGCGCTGATGTACTTATCAATATCATCGGTAGTTCGTAATTTATTCTTATCTTTCAAGAATAACAAAATATGGGCGTGTGGCAAACCCCTCTTCTGGAACTCTATCGTGTACATAGCTGAAAGACATTATAGTAAAGTTAAAACATGGTATGACTATGATATATAAATTAAATGACATAATTTCACCAATGGATTACTATAACAATAAAACATACCGGCAGCTGTTGGACCAAAAATAGCGCCTTTTTTCTTCGTTAGATCAGTCATCAGATTATCCAGCTTCATCTTAAAAACACGGCACATAATGTCTGGCCTATCCTCTGTTATCAGGTTATATTTCTGGAGATACCGTGTAATCTCGGGCCATTTTGGATTGCACGTAAATGTAATGAACAAATCCGGAAAACCAAAATATTTGCATATGGCCATAGCGTCCAGATAGTGCTGATTCATATACCGTGGTCCATTGGTAAAACTCGCAGGCATATAAATTCTTGGACCTTCTGAACTAAGATTTTCGGCACCCGCTTCAAATGCGTTCTTTATAGTTGTATAGTTATTACAACGAATCTTTTTCTGGTTGAACCACAGATAACGTAGTCTACTGGACTCTATCATGGTATACGCATCCACAAGAAACTGTTGAAAAAGTCTACCTGATCGATTGATTGTAGGAGCCTCACCACGTCTCTCACAAAGCCGGAATGCAAAAAAACTCTCGCATTGCGTTTCCTAGCCTCGGATTCGTCATACGCAATTAGAATCTTCAGGTGGAAACCGTCCTCGCCATATGGGAACAATAAAGGATATTGGAGAGGAAGATATGCAGGATGTAATTCACTAATCCTTTGGAATCCTCCGTCCGTACTGGACTCAATAATGATGTCTCTAGTTTCCATATTCAAAACAAAGTCACCCGGTATCAAAGCTGCAACTTCATCCGAAGTAGGAATATTATGAATTCTTCCATCAGCAGATCTTCCTTCTATCAACCTCAATTTGAACGTCACCCCTCCATCAGCCTCATATCTATCTCTAGCTTGTCTAAATACTTTGACGTATGGATTGACTTTGTCAAGCATCTTCTTCAATATTTCCAAGACAGTATACTTGAAATTATCGGTCTCCGCGCCCATAGTCCTAAGAATATGACAAATAGATATTATTCAATAAAGTATGCACATATTATGTCTTTAATTAGATAAACATAAAGTATTAGGAAATGAATCTAATACGTACCCATAAGCAGCTATTCTATTGTATAGCTCATTAAGAGTGTCATGGATGTAAAGTTGCAAAAATTTAGGCATCTCTCCAACGTCTGGCACCATATCACCAATTTGATGAGAATTCTCCCCATTCATTTTGAAGACATACGGACCACGACCATTGTTAATGGCGTAATCTATTCTTCCACCTAATGACGTGAAAGAGAACATCATATTGTATGCTCTGATGAACTCACGAAAATGTTTACTCAATGCATCCCCTTTTCATAACAATTCTATTAACTCCATTGGAGGATTTCTAAGTTTAGGGAGGACAATTTTTCCCTGCTTGCAGCAAAGCGTGAATATGGGTATCAATTGTCTCTTGGATTTTCCTATCCGCTCTCCATACCAAAAATAAGCTCCACAATGTCCACATTCAAAATTTAGATCTCCATCATCATAATAGTCTGCCAAGAAATAATTCACATTATAGTGTTATATATGAAAAAAAATTATAAACGTATATTATTTGTACTTACTATTTGGTTGAACTCCAAATTGAAATCTTGTGGTTTATCCAAACACATTGGGAACGGTTGTCTGTTGTATATTTACATCTGCATCCACGTTATCAACTTCCATTGCAATTTCTGAAGTTTCACCTTCGTCATAATTAGGATTAATATTTTCATCATAGTCATCGTTTTCGTCATCGCTGTGAGCCTCATATATATTTTGATAAGCTATAAGATAGAAACAATAACGGTCAATTTTATGTAGTGGATATTGTATAATCCTATATATTAAAAATTGGAGAACATCATACTAATACCTTGAGGATGCTCTTTAATAAAATTCGATCTGGAGTTCTGTGGTCGTACTCTGGAATCATCAGGCTCAGATCCATACGTTTGTAAACCCTTATTTTTTTTAGTGTTTGTTTGAGATCTTGTTTATCTTCTCGTAACTGTTAATGAAAAAGATAAGTAAAGTATAAAATAAGCTAACTTGTGCTGAAAGCTGTTTGTAATGTACATAGAGTTGATAACAAACCTTGATAATTTGTGACGTCAGACAAAGGACTTCTAGAATCATCTAAGTTATTTTTTAAAAAAGAAATTGAGAACAGACACTATGAAATAGATATTCATTTGAGATCACACATACAAATTAACAAAAAATAATTACGAAATCTACCTGATTGGTTTGTTATATCGAATAATGTATCGGTATTTTGTTGATTTGTGTGGGTGATCGTAGATGAGTTATCAGCAGATGGTAAGTCTTGGAATTGCCTTCGTCTACCGCCTGGACAATATATACGGTAATTTATGGTTTTAATATGTTCAAAATAATTACAGAAATGAAAACATATTGTTTATATATGTAGAAAACTACTCAGCTTGATAACACATTACACTTTTGTAAGGGTGGTGAGGTTTGAGAAATCTTAGTTCGACCACCTATAGAACATGATATGTTATAAGAATATTTATTTTCTAGATTATTAAGTACTAAACATTAGGGATTTTCTTAATATGCTTACGAAAGGTTGAGTATCAGGAATAGTACTTACGTTTTCGGAGA